TTCTCAAACCGTTGGACAGGGGAAGCAACCTTATCGATCTCCAAAGGTATACCGCGTTTCATATCTTAGATCAACCTGAAAAAACGCTTGGATCAGTGCGGTTGAAATGTAAATTTTTCCTTTTTTTCAATCTTCCTTTAGTATTAAGAGGCTACAAGTCTATTTGCTGACAGCGGACTTCAGTGCATTCTATCGCAGGTACGTTGAATTGCCATGAGACGTTCAACGCTTCTTAACACATAATAACTTGGAGGGAAAGAAGTTGACTTTGTAAGGCGAATATATGGGCAGATTGATTTCCTGTTTGCAAACTAATACTAATAACGTTACAGTCCATCAAAAATAGTTATATACATGCACCAACAGTGTCTTCAATAAGATGTCATACATTATCTTTGGTGTTATTTTTTATTCTACCGGATATTGAACTGAGAATAAAAGGTTAGTTATAACGAATATTATGTTATTATTATCGTTTGTTTCTGATAATTTTCGCTATTGGTATTATACGAACAAATGTAGGAACCGTCCGGAAAATTTGAAAATACTAATAAGAAAAACTATTTCTGAAAGTTATCTGTATCCATAGGGACGGAAAACAAATGAGAAGATGACAAATAAGAAACGCTTTCGACATAAAAGCAAACCAATAACAAAGACCAGTATTTATATATTTTAAGGATGGGAATACGTAATACTTCTAATACTTCTAGGCAGATTTATTTCCTGTTTCCAAACTAATATTAATAAGGTTACAGTCCATCAAAAATAGTTATATACATGCACCAATGGTGTCTTCAATAAGATATCATATATCGTTATCGTTTCTTTGTGATAATTTTTCTGATAATTTTCGTTATTGGTATTATGCGAACAAATGAAGGAACCGTGCAGAAAATTGAAAATAATAATAAAAAAGCTGTTTCTGAAAGTTATCTTTATTCTTCGGGACAGAAAACGACAAATGAGAAGATGAAAAATTAGAAACGTTTTCGTCCTAAGGGCAAACCAACAACAAAGACCAGTATTGATATATTTCAAGAATGAAAATACTCAATACTTCTATGCAGAAATGGTTAACCATGATTTCATTACTAAGGGTGCGTTCCTTTGGCAGGATCCGGATTTGGATTTGTGATACAAGATCATAAAGATCACAGTGCATGAAAAGAACGACGTTTCAGACGAGCTCTCAGATGCACGTGGGTTAGTGAGCTCTTCCCTGAATGGTTCGTCTTATTGCAGGGGCTTTTAGCATGCACTATTCATTAGATTCACATTTTTTTCAAAAAAACCTCAAACGATGGAATTAAAACAGAAGCAAATATTGATTACGATATGGATACTTGGGAACCCTGAAGGAGCGCCACAAATCAGAAATCCTGATTCGGATTCTCCCAAAGGAACGCACCCTAAGATTTTTTCACTAAGGTTATTTATGGAGAAAATCAAAATGTCCTGCTGCATTCCTTTTCCTGTTTCCAGTATTTCTGTTCCTGTTCACAGCTTCAGTGACGTCCCGAAATATCATCGACACAACCAATGTGAACTTTGTTTAAAAAAAAAGAAATCTAAATGTTTTGTTTCCTTTGAATTCACAATCGATTCCTGTCACCACACCCCAGGTTGCCATCGAATAAGATTTTAAGGGGGCCATGGGTGTTCCCTTTACTGATTATTTAATTAGTAATAATAGTCTTCTCCAATTAAACTTTAGCAACAGAAAAAACAGGAACTAAAGATGAAACCAGATACCGAGTGGATTGTTATGACAGTCCTCTACGCCATCACGATGCTCGTAGCGTTTGCAGGGAATAATTTCCTTATCTACATCGTGTGGAAGAAACCTGAAGTTAGATCACTGAAAAGCTTCATATTCGTGAACATGGCCATCGCTGATTTGCTAGTAACCCTGGTTGT